GGATCCCCAGTAGCTACCCCCCTCAAAACAAAACAAAAAAAAAAACAGAATAAGGCATTAGAGTAAAGCCTAAAAACTGCTCCAGGGCACCAATGGATGGGTACTGGAGTCCCTGGATCTTGGATGTCCCTTTAGCTGATTGTTTGCTCATGTATTCCACCCTTCCCCAAATCCTGCTGGTTTGCTCTTTCCCCAGGAGTGTGTGTCTAGATGCCAGCCCAGCCACCACAGGGGATCCCTCTGGGAGATTGAAAGGGTCAGCTGAGGCCGACCAGCCCTGAGCTTTAGGCCAGGGGAATGGCATCCCCCTGGGAGCACCAGGACCAGGCTCCTGAGGAGGGAGAAGGACTTCTGATTGTGAAGGTGGAAGATTCCTCCTGGGAGCAAGAATCTGTCCAGCAGGAAGACAGCAAGGATTCTGAGGCCTGCCGCCAGCGCTTTCGTCAGTTCTGCTATGGGGATGTGGGTGGGCCGCATGAAGCCTTCAGCCAGCTCTGGGAGCTCTGCTGCCGTTGGCTTAGGCCTGAACTGCACACCAAGGAGCAGATTCTGGAGCGGTTGGTGCTGGAGCAGTTTCTGACAGTGCTGCCAGGGGAGATCCAGGCCCAGGTGCGGGGACAGCTCCCAGGGAGTGGCGAGGAAGCTGTGGCCTTGGTGGAAGACCTACAGAAGCAGCCAGTGAAAGCCTGGCTGCAGGTGAGGGACCCCTCCCAGATCCAGATGGTCTTGAGCTGAAGAGAAGTGGCCATGTCCATGGAGATGAATCTCCAGGAGGCTCACAGGGTAGGGGAGACCCTAAGCCCGAGGGAGTAAGCACAAAAGCATGATATAACACATATTGCCTTTCTGAAAGACGAGTCCAAAATAAATATGATTGCTTTCTTTTTGGTGGTTTCACTGGGCAAAGTGGGCTTGTTCCAGAAAAAAGGTTTCAACTTCATTAGGATCTGCAAATGTATATTCATGTTCTGCTCTAGGCCAGGCCCTGGGGATACAGTGATATGCATGAGAGCTCCAGAAGGGTATGAGAAGGTAGAGCTGTCTGTGAACACCCTGCTGTCTTGTGGTGTGTAGGGTCCTTGAGACTGGAAGCATCTGGGGAGGTGTTGATGATCTGTTGGTGTGAGGCTCTGACCTGGCAGTAGGGCTGGTTCTTGCATCATGATTGATGGGGAGTATCTTTGGGCACACAGCACTGCCTGGTGTTACATTCTCCTCTGGGGTTTTCATGGGGCTCCATATTGCTCTCCTTTTCAACACCCCAGCCTCCTGAGGGACATATCCTGTGTCTCCTTCCCAGGGATTAAACTCTGTCTCCCCCGTCTGATCTCGGTGCTGATGAGCATGTTGTGGTTCCTGCACAGGATGTGCCCTCAGAGGAAGTGGAACCTGAGTCTGCAGTCCAGAGATCCCAGGCCAGGGGGCCTCTGCTGATGGTGGGGGCATGGAGCCAGCCGCCTGTACCCCAGGAGCAGCATAGCCACAATGGTAAGTAAGCCTCTACAAGAGTAGGTGGCAGGGCTGGGGTTGTGGCTCAGCGGTAGAGCGCTTGCCTGGCATGTGTGAGGCCCTGGGTTCGATCCTCAGCACCACATAAAAATAAAATAAAGGTATTGTGTCCAATTACAACTAAAAAAAAATGAAATAAAGTATTTAAAAAAGAAAAGTAGAATGGCTGGCCAGGGGCCTTGTTCCTTCTCAAGCATTGCCCTGAAGGTAGCAGCCAGGGGTTTCTGTTTTCTGAAGCCCAGTCATATGTGCACATGTATATCTGTATGTGCGTGCATGTGTGTCTGTGCATGTGCACGTGTGCAGGGGAGACTAAGATCTCAGTCTCAGGCCTGAGGTGGCCTCCCTGAGGCGCCATTCTTTTCTTTCAGCCCAGCTTCCTGCTCTTCTTAAAGAGGATAATACCAGAGAGACCACAGATGCCTGCTTTGCCTCTGGGGTCCATGTGAGTTACCAGTCCCTTTGTCTTCTCTGAGACCCTTGGCACTGCTGAGTTTATAAAATGTTCCTTGCTTTCTCCTGTAGCCCTTTTTCATCCGATTCACCCTGTCCCCACCCACAGCTGCCTGGGAGACTTGAGCAAGGCAGCCTGAGCCCAATCTTCCTTCCTCATTCCAGGGACCTGTAGCATTGGGAGACATTCCCTTCTATTTCTCACGGGAAGAATGGGGTTCTCTGGACCCTGCCCAAAGGAATCTCTTCTGGGACATAAAGCGGGAGAATTCCCAGAATGCTGCCCTGGGTAAGTGGGTGTAGGTGGGCCCCTCATCCTGCTGCCATTCCCAGTCTTTCTTCCCACTCTTCCCTTGGCCAGTTCCAAAGTGGGCTTTTCCTGGGTCTCTTCTAGAGCCCTGTTTGATTCCTTTCTTGTGCTGATGTTCAGTTCTCTGTACCTGTACAGGTATATCTTGTGACAAGTGCTTGAGATGTGCCAGCCTGTGCTGAGTGCTTATAAGGACATTTTCTCCTTTGATTCACACAACATGGTGCATTGAAATATTCTTCCCATTTTATTGATGAGGGACCTGAGACTCAGAGAAGTCATTGCACACTAAAGGACAGAGTTAAAAGAGGCTTTGTTGTGAGGCCACCTTGGCTCACCAGCTGCAAGAATGTTGACAGGGCTGGGCTGCACTCAGTCCAAACACCTTGCCATTTGAAGCCACACACTTGGGGTCCCTTTCCAAGCCAGATACTAACCTGTGAACCTGGCTGAGATCCTTCCCTGACTGAAGTTACTGTGTATTTTTGAATTTGGAGAACTGGAACCTGTAAAGTGAGGGGACCACATTGCTTAATACCTCCATTTCTACCAGTTCAAGAATGGGTGGTTCACAAAATCAAGCTGAATCCATTCAGTGAGCTCTGAGAGTGGACCATTAGTTCCAGGTATAGAAGCAAGGTTCTTGGATGGGTTAAGGACCTGGTTGGGTAAGGGACCTAGTGGAGGGTCATGATTAGGAGGCATCCCTGCAGATAGGATCTGCCCAGAGGGTCCACCCTCTGGGGCTCACTCGTAACCACTCTTCTACTGGCTTTTCATCACTATCTCGTTTTGTAGATGAGGGAACTGGGGCTTGCATGTCTGACCCAGGTCTGAACCTCAGAGCCAGGGAGCTTTCCCTGAGCTGCATTTCTTCCTTGCCTCAGCACTAACTCTAGAACCAAGTAGGACTGAAGAGGCTGCTTCCTCCCGCTTTGCAGGTTTGGGGCTCAAAAGCCAGAGCTCGAAGACCCAACTGGAGGAGGCAGTGCTGGTGCTTCCGCGCCAGACAGGCAGTGAGGTGTCTGTATCCTGGAGCCCGGAAGAGGCTGAGGCCTGGGAGAGTGAGAACCGGCCAGGAGCAGCTGTAGGCCAGCTGGTAGGGGTACGGCGGGGTCGGCCACCCACTCGCAGGCGTCAGTTTCGGGACCTAGCTGCGGAGAAGCCTCACAGCTGCGGGCAGTGCGGTAAGCGCTTCCGCTGGGGCTCGGACCTGGCACGGCACCAACGCACACACACAGGTGAAAAGCCACACAAGTGCCCCGAGTGCGACAAGAGCTTCCGCAGCTCCTCTGACCTGGTGCGTCACCAGGGTGTGCACACCGGTGAGAAGCCCTTCTCCTGCTCTGAGTGTGGCAAGAGCTTCAGCCGCAGCGCCTACCTGGCAGACCACCAACGCATCCACACGGGCGAGAAGCCCTTCGGCTGCAGTGATTGTGGTAAGAGCTTCTCCCTGCGCTCCTACCTGTTGGACCACCGGCGTGTTCACACTGGCGAGCGGCCCTTCGGCTGTGGCGAGTGTGACAAGAGCTTCAAGCAGCGTGCTCACCTCATTGCCCACCAGAGCCTGCACGCCAAGATGGCCCAGCCCGTGGGGTGAGTGGCCAATGGGAACTGGATGAGCAAGGCAGGTGCTCCCTGTGACCCCTCCTTGTCCACACTGAGGATTCTCCACTGGTTTTCCACCACTGCCAGGCCTGCATAGGGGCAGGGGCATCCCTCAGAACTAGCCGGCCCTGCTCCCATTGAGTGGAAATTCTGCTACCTTGTCTTCCTCTTCTTGCTCTGTTCCCCCCGACCTCTAGTTTCCTGGAGTCTGGAACTTTCCTGGCTGGGGCACGAAGTAATTGAGGACTCAGGCAGGGCCTAGGGCTATGTCCCAGGACCCCCTCAGCCTTGCCTGGCCAGTGTCTCTTTGTTCCCTACCTTCTCAGGTGGGTCTGTAAGCCAGCTCCTCTGCCCTACCAGCCTGTGCCTTCCAGTGGGTATGGAGAACCTGCCTTGGCACCAGGGGCTGCTGGACTTTGGGAGGGACAGTCAGCCCACACCTAGGAGAATCTGGGTCTTGGGTGTGCCCACAGGAGCTTTTCAGCTATCATCACCTCCTGCTTCCAGACCTGGCTTGGCCACAGAGGCTGCCTACCTTTGCTCTTGGCAGACTCACCCTTCCGCGGCAGGCCCCTGAGAACCACCCATCTACTTTTCTGGAGGTGGTGGCAGTGGCTCTGGCAATTGGAGGCCAACCAGGAAATCAAGAACAGGATGGGTAGAGGTCCCCTACTGTCCACTTTTCCAGAGGCATGTTCTTTGTGGTACTTAACACTAATGCTCCATCAGTACTCAGCACCTTGTTGCTGACTCCTCAAGCACTGCATTCCATTCTGTTGTCTGTATCCTGTGCAGGTCTGTATGTGTAATAACACATACAGACTAGGGGCTCCCAGAGAGCTCAACTTTGAGGGTTCCAGAAGGGTTTGAATAAATGTGGAAACTTCTCTCTAGTCTGTGTGTCTTTTTTTTTTTTTTTAAGTACTTGGGATTGAACCCAGAATCTCATGCATGCTAGGCAAGCACTTTACTCTTGAGCCCAGCCTGTTTTCTCTTTAGGTGTCTGCTGTGGGTATGGGGTACCTGGAATTCTACCCTTGGCCTCCTGGCCTGGTCATACTACTGGCTTGTGTTGTGTGGTCAGCAGGTGGAGCCACATCCTGGGCTGGTAGGTGGGTCTGATCCCTAAGGGCAGTCATATACCCTGGTTTTCTCATTCCACTGTGTCAGCCAGTGCCTGCCCTGGTCTAGGCCACCTCTCTGCCCTGGCAGAGTGGGGGGCCAAGCAGGACATGAGGTGTTTATCAGGCCCTCTTCTGCCCCACTGATGAAATGGGCAAGGGGCTGGAAAGGGGCTGTCTTGGTTGCTTGAAATACTCCTGCTGCTCATTAGGTCCCAGAAGCTAAAGCTGTCTTGTGCTTAAGGGTCTTAGGGGAAAAGGTTGACAGGGCAAAATGGGCCCTGCCCTTGTTCCCCAGGCAGCCCTTGAAAGACCACCTCCCCCCTGCCCAGGCCCACACTGTGGCCTGTGCAGAGCTGGTGGCTGCCTGGTCAGAGCCAGTGGTCACCAGAGTACAGCTCCTCCTTCTACCCTTGTCCCTTCCTGTTTTCCTGGTGCTGTCTCAGGCCCATCTGAGGAGAGGTGAGAGCAGGTAGGATAAGATGTTCCTGTCCCTCACTAGCTGGCTTGCCTGTGCCAGCCTCTGCCCTGGGACCCTTTCTCAGCCAGCCCCCAATTTAGCACATCTGTGGTCATGACTGTCCCCATTTCCCAGATGAAGCAACCAGGGTGGAACTGTAGACAAGGCTGATTCCAGTCAGTGATATTGGCCTCTGGGGGCTCAGAGCTGTTGTCTGCATGTGTATGTGTGTGTATGTGGGTGTTAGGGATGTAAGGAGTGGTGGGGGCTGTATGAGAGCATTTTTAGTGCGGTGGCTGTCTCCAAAAGGAGACACTGGTGTAACAAGATCAGATAGGAATGTGAGCCAAGTGCTAAGAATAGAACTGGGCACAGGTTTCTGGCTCATGTGTTGCACATCAATGTCAGCCAGGAAGTCATCAGCTGGAGCGAGAGAACAGAGGTGGGCTGGGGGAGTGGAGCCCAAGTTTCCAGGGGTTGGGGGCAGAGTCCAACTCAGGTCATAAACAGAGCTGATAGGAGACAGTCTGTGGAAAGGGCAAGAGTTGGGACCTAGCATACTGTGAGTCAGGACCAAGGAGGTGAGCTGGTGCTTAGACAAAGCTCCACCTGACCCCCATGGCCTTCCTGGTGGCTGGGACCCTGCAGGCGGCCTCACAGTTGGCTGATGCTCAAGACAGCCTGGGGAGAAAGGTAATGGGAGGCTACACCTGGCCCAGCCTGCTCTAGACACCCAGCAGAGCCCCAGCCGGGCCCAGCTCTGGCCTTACCTCCTCAGGGGGAATACAGCCTGCAGGGTTCAAGAGTGGCCCTGACACTCAGCAGCCATGGGGTGTCCACTGCTACCGTTGCTGCCCTGGACTGTGTGTTCCGGTCCCTGGGCTTTGAAAACTGTGAGAAGAGGAAGACCTCTGTTCAGGTAAGCCTCATTCCTCATCCCCACCCCCAGCACCCATCTCACTTGGGACCTTCATGGACTCAGGCCAGGCCATGGCTCTTGCCCTAGTGCTTTTTTGAGGAGCTGGTGTGGTTTCAGGAGCAGCTGGATGCCCACAAGGGACCTGTGGGCTGTGCCCTTGTAGCCTTAGTGGCCCCCAGTGGGCAGCTGAGGCACGTACAGCTGCTGGTCCGGGAGCTGAGTCGCTGTGGGGCTCTGAGGGGCTGCCCCAAAGTCTTCCTCCTGCTCTCAAGTGGCTGTGGTGGTAAGTGTCTGGGCAGGGACCTTGGTTGGGGGTGGACAAGTTGGGGCAGAGGATGGGCAGGAGAGCTCCCCACTCTGGCCAACAGGATGCCCCTGTGCTGTTTCTCCACCAGCTGCACTGGCCTGAGGGAGCTCTGTGGCCGCTCTCCTCACTGGTCCCTGCTGCGACTGCTGACAGAGGTGGAGGCCTTAGAAAGCAATGGTGGTCCTGTGGTCACCCTGGCCCTACTGTGCTGTCCTGAGCTAGTTCCAGTTAAATTCTTTCACATACCTGGCCCCCATTTATTCTACAAACCTTTATTGCCTACACATTGTATAGGCCTTGGGCACAGCTCTGCCTCACATGGGACCCCCAGACATCCAGGCTGCCTCACGTTCCATGCCCTTGTCCAAGCAGCTCTCTCTGTGTGGCATGCCTCCCTGTCCCTCCTAGGCTATCAGCAGTGGCCTTCCTTGTGGTCTGGGCATCCAAACTGGTATTTCCAGCTGTCCATTTTGACACTCATCCAGGCAGTGATTAATGTCACTGAGGGACTGGGACTGATTCAGGTCTGGTCCTGGGGTCTGAAGTTCTCACTGCGCAGTTGGGTGGTGGCTGGGTGATCCTGTAGGTGATCCTTCAGGCCTCAGCTCTTCTCCATAGCTCTGACAGGAAAATGCCTATGGAGAGCCCTCCTCCATAGGCCTGCTCCATTCTAGTGAGGTCCCTGCCTTTGTGCACACTAATCCCTGAAGCAGGGCAGGAGGTAATGATACAGCCACTGTCCACTTGAGGCCAGGGAAGTCAATGACCTAGAGCCTGAACTAGACCTGAGGTCTTGTTTAGGACTATCCTTCCTCCTCATCCTCCTCCCTCCCTTCTGGCAGTTAACCCCCAAGAGCCTGTAGTAGCCAGGAATCTGCCAAGTCTTTCCCTGGAGTCAGGGTCCCGTCACCTGCTTGGGTTGTGCCCCTCCCCTGAGATCCCTCACTGAGAAGCCCCTCTTAGGTATCCTGGGGTCCCACACTCCCAGCTGTTCTGCAGGGTAGCTGAAGAGTCTACTGGGGACACCTACTGCCTGTTCTTTCAGAGCTCCTTGAGGGGAGTACTATGCCTGGGAGGTGTGGAGCCCTGGATGCCTGAGGTAAGGCAGGGTTCCTTCAAACAGCTGCCATTGCAGGTGGGAGGAGCCTGACCATGCCCAGGTAGGGAAGGCTAGGAGTTTGGAGCCCCCTTAGACCACTTTGAATGTGCCTCAAACCTCTCTATAGCCAGAACCCAGTCCCAGGGCTCAGTATGACCTGTTGGGGGTCAAGGCTGCCCTCCTCCTGGCTGTGATCCAAGACCGGCCCGGAGCACAGCATGATGTGAAGGCACTGGGGGACCTGTGCCGGTCCCTGGGTTTCGAGATCACCTTGAGAATGGACCCTACAGCTCAGGTGAGGGGAAGCCCAGAACTTTTGGTGGTACCTTTGAAGAAAGGACACCCCTCCCCTAGGACTCTGGGGATCCCCTCCTGGGCCTCTCCCATATCACCCACAGGAAGTGCACCCATAGGCTTATCCTTTATCTTTCCTGCTGCATGAATGGCAGTCACTTTCCTGCCTTGGAGAGGCTGGTCTCCCTTGCTGACTGGGTCTCTGCTCCCCAATTCAAAGCTCTGTTTTTTTTTTTTTTTTTTTTTGTGTGTGTGTGTGTGTGTGTGTGGTGCTGAATTGAACCCAGGGCCTTGTGCATGTGAAGCAAACATTCTACCAACTGAGCTGTATTCCTGCCTTCTGTGATTTTGTTTCTGGACATTTATCATCCTGCTACCCTCTCCTCATGCCTTTGCACTTCTTCCTCACTAGGACAGGAGGAGAATCAGCTCTGGGAAGCTAGACCTCCACATCACCTCTAGTGAGCCCATGCCAGGACTTGTAACAGGGAGTTAGGGCTTCCTCCCTGGGCCTGAGGTTGGAGGCAGATGGAAATTGGGTGGGCAGACACTGGAGAAGACATCTCAGCCTCCTGGAGGACAGCCAGGGCCTGGGGAGGCTGTGGCCCAGGGCTCAACCTTGTCCCCACTCCAGGGGTTCCAGGCAGAGTTGGCTCAGTTCCGAGAGAGGCTGGACACCTGTAGAGGCCCTGTGAGCTGTGCCCTTGTGGCCCTGATGGCCCATGGGGGGCCACAGGGGCAACTGCTGGGGGCTGACGGGCAAGAGGTGCAGCCAGAGGCACTGGTACAGGAGCTGAGCCACTGCCGAGCACTATGGGGCAGACCCAAGATCTTCCTGCTACAGGCCTGCTGTGGGGGTAAGCCTGTCAGGGGTGGGCAGCGGCCTCCAAGTTGCCTCCTTCTCTGGCTTTCCTCTGTCAGCCCTCAGCCTCCCACGCTTGCTGTCTACCTTCTCCAGGAAGCCTGAGCATTGTTTTCCTGTCCTACAGGACAGACTACAGACTTGAGCCCTTGACCTCAGCCTGGTCTTTCATCACTCTGAATACTTCCAGCTTAGCAGGCCTGACTCGGGGCTCTGGCCATTGGGTTCTTGCTTGGCCCCACTATTCACATCAGGTCTGGATGCTTGGTACCCACTGAGTGAAGATATTTGACCACCCCTCTAGGAAACAGGGACGCTGGTGTGGGGCCAGTGGCTCTCCCCTGGTATTGGCGCTGGCTTCGGACACCTCCAGCTATCCCTACACAGGCAGATGTCCTCCAGATCCATACTGATGCCCAAGGTGGGTCTTGCCTTCCCTCCATAGCTTGGGTTTGACAGGTCTGGTACCAGGGTAGGAACTGTTCAGAGAGCATTTCCGGGGCTCTTAGCTGGTGTTCTGCTCTCACCTCTGCCCACTCTTTGCCAAGAGAAAGGGAGGAAAAAAATTGAAAAGGCCTTTGGGAGGTGAGTGCTACTCCCCTTAATTGAGCTTCTCTGAGGTTACAGTTAATAAACAAAGGGCTGACATTTAGATTTCCAGCTGTCTTTCCACTGCCCTGTGGTGCCCTTGATGAGGAGATGGGGAGAACCTGGGCCTGCGGGAGCCTAGGATGCTGGTGGTTGGAGATGACTTCTCTTGCAGGCAGCCCCTCCAGGGGCCCCATTTCAGGAAGCTCTGATCAAGCAGACATCCTGACAGTTTATGCAGCCACTGAGGGTAAGAAGTATGTAGTTACACTGGGCCCAGCTTCCTGCTCTGAGAGCTGGATTGGCCTTAGTGGTAGCCAGGGTTGGGATGTAGAGTAACCAGCCCAATTGCAGTTAAGACATCTCCTTCCCTAGTTTCTTTCTTTTTTCTTTTTGGTACCAGAGATTGAACCCAGGGACACTTGACCACTGAGCCACATCCCACCCCTTTTTAATATTTTATTGAGAAACAGGGTCTCATGAGTTGTTTAGGGCCTCACTAAGTGTTAAGTGTGTTAAGGCTGTCTTTGAACTCTTGATCCTCCTGCCTCAGCCTCCCAAGCTGCTGGTATTACAGGCATGTGCCATCATGCCCGGCTTCCTTTCTACAGTTTTTCCCTCATTAATAGCAATGATGGTGTGCATATGTCAAATGCCATCTGTGCACGTGCACCATTTCCTCCAGGCAGGAACTTCTGTGAGGGCAGGGAAGATCTGTTTGTTTCAGGGCCCTGCCTGACACCTAGTAGATCCACAGCAAATGTTTGTTCAATATTGAATCTGTATATATAGTCACTCAGCAAACACTGAGAAACAACTTGGTCCAAATGCAAGAAGTTCCTGCCCCACACCTTGTTCTCTGGCCTGATCTCTGGATCCTCTGTGCTTGCTGTCCTCCATGTCTGGTCACAGTGGGTCCCTGGGTTTGAGAGACAGAGGCAGGGGCCTGAGCCTTACTCTGACCCTTACTCCCTGACCTAGACTGTGTGGCCTATCGGGATGAGAAGGGCTCTGACTTAGTCCAGACGCTGGTGGAGGTCCTCAGAGCCAACCCCAGGGGAGACCTCCTGGAGCTGCTGACCGAGGTGTGTGTGTGTGGGGGTGACCAGGAGATAGGGGCTGACTGACTTTTCTCCTGAGCCCCTCCCATCAGCCCCATTGATGAAAGGGGGATTCCCTGCCCTCAACAGTCTTAGGTAATGAAACTCAGGACCTCTGGCACTGGTCAGATGCGAGCAGCAGCAGTTGGTACTCACATATACTGAAATCTGGGGGGGGGGGGAGGACACTGAATGCCATGCAGGGCTACAGGAGATGCACTGGGAAACAGGGAACCAGCAGGGACTGTGGGAAGCAGGCTTCCTAGAGACAAGAGGTGAGATGTTCCTGGTTAAGCAGGAGCATGGAATTGGCTTATTTGAATATTTATGCAGAAAAAAAAAGTTATGTGGGCTGGCAGAAAGGTGAAGCCTAATGTTTAAGTGGGATTCAGCTCGTCTGGCTTAGACGGGAACTGGAGGGTGAGCAAGGAGCACTTGAAATTTCAGGCCTTACAAAACAGCAGGCAAGGGCTGCAACGGGAGCCAGGCTGATCCCCATAGTGCCTAGAATCCTGGGCACAGGCTCAGTGTGGCCCCTCAGGTCAACAGGCGGGTGTGTGAGCTGGACGTGCTGGGGCCAGACTGCAATGAGCTCCGCAAGGCCTGCCTGGAGATCCGCAGCTCCCTCCGGCGCAGGCTCTGCCTGCAGGCCTAAGGGCCCTGCTACAGCCGCCCGATCCACTCCTTGACTTCTTCAGGACAAAGGGGCGGGCAGCCTGGGCATGGGCGTTTAATTGGCGTTCAATAAATACCTGTTAATGATTGCTTTGCGTGGGTCAGTGCTTGCTCTCGGGGATCTGTGAAATAAGTGTTATGATGGATGTAAAGTGCTGGCACTTGGTAAAGGTGCAGTTGTGCCCCTCGGAACCAGAAGCGGGACTGGGACCTGTGCCCTGTGTCTCGGAATTAGGAACCAACGTGGGCTGGGCTGGGCTGGAAGTAGGACCAGCCCGGGAGTACATCCCTCTCTTCCTGGCGCTGGGGCCATGGAAATGAAGGAGAAACCGCCTCTGCCTTCCTGGCGGACTCAGCTACTCTTGAAAGAGACGATTGCATATTCACCAGTGAAGTGACGGGGAGAGCGCAGGAGAGCGCAGAGCAGAAGGCGGGCAGGTGAGGGAAGAAGTCAGAAGGGTTTCTAGGAGCCAGAGAAGATAGCTGGGAGAGGTTGGGGACCTCCAGGTTCATCCTGATTCGAACTCTCGGCGGGGTGCAAAACCTGCGCAGCGTCCCCACTGAGAACTCCGCCCGCATTTGCCACGAAGGGTAAGTCTTTTTCCACTCTGAGCATGCGCGTGGGCACAATGCGCAGGCGCTTCAATATGCTTTATAGAAAAAACTGAGGCCTCTGAGGCAGTGGGGCCGCGTGGCCTAATGGATAAGGCGTCTGATTCCGGATCAGAAGATTGGGGGTTCGAGTCCCTTCGTGGTCGCTGCGGGGAATCTTTTTCTAATTTCACAGAAGTGTTTTCCTTCCCTCAGTACACACTCTACATTGAGGCTTTGTCCCCAATCGCCCCTAGCCTGCATCTGCAGTTGAGGACCGGGGTCAAGGTTACAGCACGGGCGACCAGAGGCGGTTGCCGGACCCCCGCGCACTGCCGAGCAGAGCCGCGCAGAATCCTCAACAGCGAGCTCTGCGGTTTACAGTTCAGGCAATGAAAACTGACAGGCGAGGGAGGGTTCCTTGAGGGTGCGGTGGGGAGTTGCTCCAGGGGAATCAAAGGATATGTGCATTTGAAAACCTAGTAAATTATGTGATAATGGTTGCACAACAATCTGAATCTAATTAAGGCCACTGAATTGTACACTTCTAAATGACAAAAATAACAGTTCTATTGACGTACGCTCACCGTTCTAAAATATGTGGGACGAAAGCCGATAGATCATCTCGGTTTCTGGCAACGAGGGGACCTTATGGTTAGTGTAAATGCACACCCAACATTTTAAATATTGACCGAGGTTGAGCTGACATTTCGCTTGGAGAATTTACTTGCTGAGCCCGCGTTCTCTCCAAGGACTCTGGCTAACGAACCCTCCGTGGCCAATGGCGGGTGCCCCACCGCGAGGACAACGCCGGCGACAAGGCCGCTTCAGCTCGAGTGCAGAGGCGCGGGCGCGAGGGCGACCTGGGGTCGTGCGGAGTCACCTTCTCCGCGGGCGGCTGTGACGTCGCGGTGGTTTAGTAAGAACTCCCGGTAGAGGAACTTCCCGAGGTTAAGAGACCCAAAGGGGAAGAGAAGAGCCACGCAAAGGCAGCGGGTGGGGCTCGAGCCCCCTGCCTCGGCTGCGACTCCCAGATTCCACCGGCTGAGCCAGAGGGAAGCTAGAGGCTTTGGGCTGGCGATCTGCTAAAACGACAAAATAAGCAACAACAACAACAAAGGGGCCCCACCAGGTAACATGCAGCCCCAGGGACAGTGGGAGAGGAGGACCGGGGCGGAGACCCCCCGCGGCCCCCGCACAGGACGCTCTGCCTTTCCGGGTAGGTGCTGGTCTGTTGCGGGGCACTGGACATTCATGGTGCCCGCCCTCCCTCGTTGGGCCTCACAGACACCTTGTTTCCTGTACCAGCCGTCCCCGTGTTGCAGGGGTATCCCTGGATTAAAGGCCTGATCCTGGTTTGAACCTGGGATCTCTGGCTCCCCCAGCGAGTTGCATACCACCTAGGCCGATGGATAACCCTAAATCCCTAAATAAAACTTAGTGTCGCATGTCTTCGAGCTCCTGCACAGCTGGGTCCCAAGGACGCCTGGGAGTGGGCGAGATGATGAACTGGAGAGCAGATCGAGAATCGAAGTCGGGGGATAGGAAAAGGCCAGAATGAGGTCACAGAGCCGAGCAAAATTTTGCCGGAACCACCAAAAATGAGGAAAAGACTGGTTCTAGAACAGAAAATCGTTTAACTTGTCAGCCCCGGTGGCCTAATGGATAAGGCATTGGCCTCCTAAGCCAGGGATTGTGGGTTCGAGTCCCACCCGGGGTACAAAAGTTGCCTTTTTAGGCCTCTCTCCAAGACAAGTAGCAAAGAAAGTGTAGATAATTGTCTCTGCGTATATAGCCACTGTCTGCCCCGGGGCAAAGACCGGGGGTTTTGGACCCTTCGACACAAGGGATGTTTTCATAGAAGTATTTTCAGTTTTGAGAGAGGAATGCTTGTGTCCTTTACACTATTTCAAGAACCATCCATTCTACTTGATAAAAAAAAAAAATGTTCAGTACCAACGTGTACTACTGTTGTATTATAGTTACATATATTTGAAAAACTCTTTGTCTTTTATAAACGCGTAATTTTTTAGAGATTAAATTGCTTTAAAATCGTGGGCTGAACTCGGGAGCCTGAGGCAGGAGGATCGCAATTCCAAACCCAGCCTTAGCAAACTAGGGAGGCCCTAACCAATTCAATGAGACCCTGTCTCAAAATAAAAATACAAAGAAAGGGCTGGGGTTGTGACTCAGGAGTTAAATGCCTCCAGGTTCAATCCCTGGTATCCACCCCAACCCCCGCCCCCCCAAAAAAATCATGGGCTGGATGGAAACAGATCAACAAGTCTATCTGTGAGTTGATAATGGTGTAACCTGAGGGTCAGGAGGGCACATAATACTATATACTATTTTCTCTGTTTTTTTTTTTTTTTTTAATACTTTTCCACCCTGATGTCCCCAAGCATTTGGCCCTGCACTTTCCTAACTAATGCCATACCTTTCACACAAAACAGCTCCTGAAGTTGCAAATTCAATTTTCTTTGTCATTATGCAACATGAGAATTTAAATGTGTGTTTGATTTTTTAAAAAACAATATCAACCCTGTAGCTGCAAGATATTTAACAAGGCCCTGGATCTCTGAACATGATATTCTACAGTTGAGGCTCAACCTTGTAAGTAACAGAACTCTAGATGGCTCCCAACTGGCTTTACTTCTTGATTTGGCCTGTTAACCACTGCTGGGATAACAGAACTTTCAAAGAAGTCCCTAAAAGCAGAGTCCCTGTCGGGGCAAGTACTACAACACTGACAGGGTCCTCCTGATAGCTCTGTGTACCTGGAGATTTTTTTTCTTTCTTCTATTTCCACACTTTTTTTTTTTTTTAAATTGGTGCATTGTAGTTGTGTATATGTAGAAATTTATGTGAATTTCAGCTTTAAAATATATGAAAAATCATGAGACAAGAATGTGCGGCCCAAGCAGGGCGCAGTGGCGCAGGCCTGCAATGCCCCCCTGGCTGGGGAGGCTGAGGCAGGAGGATCCCAAATTCAAAGCCAGCCTCAGCAATTTACCGAGGACGTAAGAAACTCATCAAGACCCTGTCTCTAAAAATAATACAAAAAAAGGTCTGGCGATGTGGCTCAGTGGTTAAGCACTCCTGAG